ATGGAAGGATTTATATTCCTCGCAGTCATCTGGTCGTTAGCGCTCTCTCTGAGAATCATTGAGGCCACTTGGAGGCTTTATCTGTGTCCTTAGGGTCACCCGAGTAGCGCAAAGGGGTGTGGGACGGCTGCAGGATTTGGGTTTGGATAGTTTAAAGAAAAGAAGGACTGGGAGGGACATGAGGGCATTTGAGGGGCTGCCCCAAAGAAGAGGGGGGTCAACTTATTTACCAAAGCCCCTGAAGGCAGGAGAAGCAGCAACGGATGGAAACTCATCAAGGAGAGAAGCAACCTGGAATGAAGGAGAAACTTCTTAACAGGGAGGACAATGAACCAGTGGAACTGCTTGCCACCAGAAGTTGTAGGTGATCCATCACTGGAAGTTTTTAAGAGACAATCACTTATCTGAAATAGTATAGGTTATCCTGCTGAAGCAGGGGGCTGGACTAGAAGACCTCCAAGGCCCCTTCCAGCTCTATTCTATTCAGCCTTCTTGGAATTGCTGAAAGGAGCTGTGTTGTAAACAGGAGATGGGGGGAGGTCACATCCCTCCCCACTCTGTTGAAAGTGGAAGAGGGCAGAGATAAACCCCCAAGTGACCTCAATGACTCCCAGAGAGAGTGCTAACAACCAGAGGACTGCAAGGAATATAAACTGTTCCATCCTCCATCATTCGGTCAGAGTTGGAGAAGCTTCTTGGAGGAGAAGCGAAACGTCTTCAAGGAAAAACAAAAGAAGTCCACTTGCCTCTTGAAAAAGCACCTTTGCGACAACTATGACTCGGGTGACTGAGAATTTCCAGAGACAGCTGGGAGAGATATTCACACCCTTCCACCTTTTCTTCTCCAGAGATGAATAAACTTTTCAAAATTCTTCATTTCCTCTTCACCGGAGCCCTTTAGTGCTTCAGTTTTTGTCGGGCTTCGGTCATTTGGTTTACAGTGAATTATTTCCCCCTGAAAACTGAATATGAACCATTTTATTCCCTTCAAATCTCCCCTCTCCTCTGCCATACGCTAAATAAATCAATAAATCCCCTCTTTTTCAAACAGTAAAAAGTGCATTGTTCCTGAGCTTTCAGCAGGTACAAATCTGGATTCTTTTAAAAGTTTAAACTCTTTTTTTTTGTAAAAACACATTTCTTTTTCAAAACATTTCTCAGTTAAGGGTCTCTCTGTGTTCTGTAGGTAGAAATGCTACTGGTGCTGGGTTGTTGTTGTTTTTCTTTTCTTCCAGTTTTAATAGCTCTATCACGAGCTACCTCCTGAACTTGCCGAAACTCTTCCTAGCTATCAAAAAGTTGAACGCTCCAGAAAACGGGGGGTGGGGTGTCTTGCTAAGAACAGCCAGCCCCCCCAATCTGGATGGCGAGGAAGAGGAGCAGAGGTGGTTTGTGAATCAGGTGCGATGGGTGGTCTCACCTGGAAAATGGTTGTGGGGGTACATGCAGATTAGAGACTGGAGACGTAAGATACTAAGAAGGAAGGTTTCTCCGCAGGGTTTTGGCCAAGCTGAATCCACCTTTTTTTCCCAACCTTGTCACTTTAAGACAGGTGGACTTCAACTCCCATGGTTCCCCAATCAACATGGAGGTCAGTAACCTCAGCAACATTTTAGACGGGTGGGCTTCAATTCCCAGTATTCCCCAGCCGGCTCTTTTTTGTTTTACTTTGCTGAAGTCGAGATATATTACGCTTACTGCGTTCCCACCGTCTATTAAGAAAGTTACCCTCCATGGCTGGCTGGGGAATTCTGGGAATTGAAGTCCACACATCTTCAAGTGCCTAAGGTTGGAGACCTCCGATTTAGGACTTGTGGACTTCAACTCCCAGAATTCCCCAGCCAGCTCTTTCCCCCCCACACCCCAATTTGCCAAAGTCAAGATATATTATGCTTACTGCATACCCACCCTCTCTTAAGAAAGTTACCCTCTATGGCTGTCTGGCTGGGGAATTCTGGGAGTTGAAGTTCACAAGTCTTAAAGTGACCACAGTTAAGAAAAAAAAATCCGCTTTTTAAAAATTATTTCTGGTGCAATACGGCTGTCCCAGAGTTACACACAGGGAAAAAAACCCTACTCAAATACAAGAATCTGTTGTGAGAGTTAACTTAAGTGCCATCTTTTACCAGTTCAAATGGGCAATTCTGAATTTTTTTATTGCCATTTCCAAGATGGAAAAAATGGGAGCCTCTGGTTTGGAGGGTTTGTCGGTTGCATGAAAAGAGGGGGGGGGCGTATTTCTTGTGAGAAAGCCCACCATTGTCTCTGTTCTGACCAGCAGATGCCCCCCCCCCCTGTTGCTGCCCTCCGCAGAGACCCAGGGAAGAGGCAGAGGCGCTACCCTAGAATAAATTTCACAGCCAGCGCAAGGCATCGGGCCCAAAGCAAGAGGAAGTGCAAAGTGGGTAGGGTGTGGGAATGCAGTAGCCGTCCTTCCTTTCTCCCCACTGTCCCCACATGACTCTTGACCCCGAGGGCACTTTTATTATTGCTTTTAAAAGAGATGGCTCATTCCTGGAAAAGGGAGAGGAAGGAAGGAAGGAAGGAAGGAAGGA